CATCACGCTCACAGCAACCTCCAACTCCTGGGCTCAAGCGAGTCTCTTGCCTCAGCCTCCTAAGTAGCTGGGACTACAGGCGTCCGCCACAACACCTGGCCATTATTTTTGGTTGCAGCCATCATTGTTGTTTGGCGGGCCCGGGCTGGGGATTCAAACCAGCCACCTTAGGTGTATGTGCCGTAGCCACTTGAGCCACAGGCGCTGAGCCCCCGGGCTGGATTTGAACCCTCCACCTTAGGTGTATGTGGCTGGTGCCTTAGCCACTTGAGCCACAGGCTCCGAGCCAAGTAACTCTTAATGAAAGAAAATACTTAAAGAAATTTGGTATCATAGATGAGCAAGATTAGATTTATAGTAATTTAGATTTCTTGCACTATTTCAGTAGGAAGGCACAAAATTCATTCCTAGGGTATTGATAAGCCTGGGATCTCTTGGCCTAAAGACATGGGAATCAAATTTTAACTTTGTGTGCTGTTACATTTCCATCCTCTGAAATATGTCTTTGAAATTTTGGGAAGGCTTCCTTTATGGAATAAGAAGAAGTGATAATAATAATAATAATGAGGTTCTCCCACTGCTTTAAGGCAAGCACTACTAAGCCATCAAGTAAAGAGACACTGGAGACTGAAGTGGAAAGGATATGGGTGTTACTGCTTAGAAGCCAAAGCATTCTTAAGAGTTTGTTGATATGGGATGTGTTTAGTTACTCTGGTTAATTTCATAAGCACTGATATAGGGAAATAGACAACAAGTTAGAATGTAGAACATGGTCAGAGTGAAAGTCATTTAGTGCAAAGATATAAACTACTTCCCTATCCCAAAGGTCTTAATTTTATTAATGGAACATAAAACTGGCAATAATTCTTTCCAAATTTATTAAATACCTCCTATAGGCAATGCATAATCTTAGATCCTCAGGGAAGGGATTATATAAAAAGATATATTAGGTATAGATCCTGCCATGACAGGTAGAGTTGGTTCATTATAATCACATCCTATACAAGTCTATTTGTAATTACTATTAGCTAACTACAGATGGTTCTTAATTCACTTTAAAAATTTAACAACCATTTAATCTATTTATTATTATAAAATCACTATTGATTTCATTAAAAATGTTTTTCATGTATCTAGTATTATGAAAAGACCTGCAGGCCAATAAAAATTAATGTACTATTTTCAATCATAAAACATCTGTTTGACAATTATATTTTAAAATCCTTGAATTACTTTTTTGTATACTCTACTGAATCTTTAATATTTTCACAAAATTTTAAGTAATTAAGTACATTACTGGAAATTTAAATGTACTGTGTTTTGAAAAGGATGTAATGAATTTCAGAGTATAGGTTTTTGTTTCCTCAAATAAAGCTAAATATGGATGAAAGAATTGAAATTGGGTAGTTTTTATTTTTTTTTTACATGGATTAGTAATAGGATTTTATATGAACAAAATGATCAAAATGTAGTACATGAATACAAACCCTACACAATACAAAGAAGAATGCTGTCCTGTAATGCTGTGTACCCATATCTGTATTTTCTTACTAACAAACTGAGAGGCTGGGAGAGACTTAGATGCTTGAGATGCTTTACTGAACCAGGTAGGGATTTCATCCAGATAATTTCATCAACAAAACAAGACGCTTCTGCCAGAAAGTTTCGGTCACTACAGCAAATATTTTCTACTTTCACTTTAGATTTTGAAACTAGGAAATGGGGGTTTCAGAAAGAAAAATAAGAGAAATAGGTATGTGGTTGATATAAAATAGAGGAAGTGTGGGGCTGTTTTTGAGTTATTCAAAATGGTTTATGTATACTTAACTGTATTTTATTTTGGTGACTCTTAGGCAAATCTCAGTCAGAAATTTTG